AAGGCGACCCTTTGGGACCGATGCTTTTTGCTCTAGCCCTTCACCCGCTGTTGACGAAGTCATAATCCTAGCGTTGGCTACCTGGACGATGTCAGCTTGGCCGCAGAGGGTAACATCTTAGCGGACGACTTCCTGTTGCTGAGGGTCGGCGCTTCCATCATTGGTCTTGAATTAAACACAAACAAGTGTGAACTACTTGTAAATGACACGTTTCAAATGCCAAACGTGCTGGCTAATGTCTCCACAGTGCCCCATTCATCATTAAAATTTTTAGGCACTCCAATGATGGCCGGCGATCATCAGGACAGGTTTTTTAATAAAAAACTTTTTGAGCTAAGATTTGCCCTCGAACGTGTCTCTCTTCTCCCGGTCCACGACGCGCTGACAATCATCCGCGGCGCCCTCAGTTTGCCGAAATTGATGTATTTTTTGCGCACATCCAATTTTGTTAATGCGGCCATTTTTGGCGAATTTGAGGGTGCTCTGCGGGTGGCCCTCTCAGCAATTTGTAACGTCGATATTACCGACAAGGGTTGGTCTCAGGCTCAGCTGCCGGTACGATTTGGGGGACTGGGGTTACTAAGCGTGGTTCAGCTTGCACCAATTGTTTATAAATCTTCCGCATCTGCCACGTTTGACCTACAGTCTGCCCTTCTTCGGAAATTTAGTAGCCTACACTGTACTCCGCCGACTCCAATCCAACCAACAGACCTTTCCCAGGGCAACACTTTGGAGGAAGCATATAAGCGCAAATTCAAAGAGTTTCTTTCCTTAAGCCCTGACTCGGCGACCTCAGCTCGCTTGCTGGCAGTATCCAGCGAGGCGAGTTGTGGCTGGCTGAGATCTTTGCCCAATACGTCGGTGGGTACCAGATTGGACGACGAAACGGTCAAGACAGCCATTGGCTTCCGTCTGGGATTGGCCGTTCAGAGTCGATATACATGCAGGTGCGGCGCGAAGGCGGATGAACTTGGCCATCATGGTCTTGTTTGTCGTTTGGGCGGAGGTCGCCAGCAGCGACATTCAGCCATAAACGATTTTGTGTGCCGACTTTTCTCCAAGGCCTCAATTCCGGTTTTAAAGGAACCGTCGGGCATTGCGACGCACGACGGTAAGCGCCCTGACGGGTGTACCTTGATTCCTTGGAGAGCCGGCAGGTGCTTGACGTGGGACGTTACCGTTCCGGGCACCTTTGCTGAGCGCTACGTGCAGCTTACTAGCAAAGAAAGCGGTTTGGCTGCAACCAGGGCATCTGACGAGAAAATCAAAAAGTACGACGGAGCTCTTCCCTCGATGGAGTTTTTACCGATTTGTATCGAGGTCCTCGGCCCCATGGACCGTAACACCTCCGGGTTTTTCAATCGAATTTGTAAAAATATCAGTATTAGGTCAGGCGATAGTAGGGAATATTTTTTCGCTATGAATAATATCTCGTGCATCCTGCAGCGGTTTTTGCGCGTCTGTGTGTTGGAAAATGTGGAGTTGAATGCCGACGGGGTTGAGTGACGTTATAGCAAATAAAATCAAATTTAGTCAGACGCTTGGCTTTTGGTGTCATTCGTCAATGATTTGGTTTTAACATACACACATACATACATACACATAGACACACATACATACATACACACACACATACATACATACACACACACATACATACATACATTTTCATCACGGGGTGCCACAAGGATCCATACTAGGACCCCTTCTATTTTCTATCTACATAAATGACCTCTGCAATGTTTCGCCCTCAACCAAATGCGTACTGTTCGCAGACGACACCAACCTTCTTTTTACTTCCAACAACCTACCAGATTGCTCTGAACATATCAATCTTGAACTCCAAAAATACTCTAACTGGTTATCCAATAACAAACTTATCATAAATTATTCGAAATGTGCATACATTATTTTTGGCCCAAAAATACTCACCAACCAAGCTCATAA